TTTTTTGATCTTTTCAACCTCAGGCCAGAGACAACCTTCTGGGTTTGTTTCCATCTTCTGAAGGTGGATGCATGTGTCCTAATATCCACTGGAAGTGGACTCTCCCATTCCCCTCTTCCAATGCAGTCACTGCCAGAAAATATCACAATGCTGCCCTTTCCACAGGGCCTAGTCTCAGAACATGCCCAGGCTACAGGTGTCAAACTTATGTGCTACACAAAACAAAATGCTCACTGTCTCTCCCACCCACAGTGATATTTTGCTTACTGTTAGGATATGGCTGTGTTATCAAATACCTATATGCAAAAAGTATCACTGTAAAGCTAAAACATTGTGTCTAATATCCACAACAGGTCAGTCTTAAATCCGAACCTGTCTGGTTGTCCTGTGCGCTACACTACTATCACACTAGGGAAAAAAAGATAAATGTTGTGCCTGATTTTTCCTCCCATGTAACCTAACCATTCCTGTTTCACTGCTTATGCTCAATCACTCTTGACCCAAATATTCAAGGGATACTTTTATCACTCAAAAGCAGTCCATGTTAACCTAAATTTTAGGTTGTTAGAATTACAATTTACAAAAATAAGTCCAATTACAATGGCATCAGTTGTACACAGGCTTCTGTAGTTCATAACAGCTTGACAGAAAAAAAAGTTTATTAGGAACCCAAAGTACAGCTGACTGCTATTTCTAGCAGTTAGAAGGTCAGAAAAAATGCAGAAGTAGCAAAATCAGTCAGCTGAAAAGCCTGTCATTTCCCCCTGCACAAGTTTCCTCAGCTTTTGAAAATGCAGTGGCAAATTTAATGCTTAAGGTTTCCTTTTGCTGCTACAACTTGTCCAACAGGAGAAAAGTGTAGGAAACCCATGAGTGGGAAGGGGAGAAGAAACAAAACTGACACAGCATTCTATTCCATTTATTCACTAGCAAAAAGAGGCAGGGAGAAAGGAGCTGAATATCCAGAACTTCTCACGGAGCACACCTACACAAGATGATTAATGCACAGTAGACTAATTCTACTGCACATTAGAGCACCATGGCAAAAAGCATGCTAATGTGCCAATGCACAGTAGAATTAGTCTACTGCACATGAAGCATCACAAAAAGATTGTGCTCCATTGCTACTGTCCATTAGCGTCAGCTCTTGTGCATTTATGTATTATTACCTCATATTAGAGGTACTAAACTTAATGCACAGTAGCAATGGCACATTAATGGACATGTAGACACACCCTGTGGTTTGAAAACTAGTACAACTGAAAAAGGAAACTTTGTTTTAAAACTTCTCATGCAAAAAGCAAACCTATAGTCAACAAAACTATTCTGGGCGAGAAAGTTTTCAGCCGGCTCCAATACTGAGTCACCAAGAAAACTTTTAGAAGTTTTAACCTCACACTGTCCCTTTATTTGTGTATATTCTGAAACTGAATCTTCCCTTAATACATACAAATCTATCTAGAACCACTGCCACTCTTCTCCTTCCAAAATAAATAATCTTACCTCAGGGAAGTTTTAAAAAACCTTTTTCACATAATGCTCTCCTTTTGTATAGAAATTTAAAAAAAAACCCAATTTGCTGATGCTACATGAATTGCAGACACTACAGCAGGATAATTATTCAAGTGGTTTCCTCCGTGTGTAATTTACTATTTGGACGTAAACTGAAATGTCAAATGAGTGGCTTAAATTGATTTATTTTTATCTAATTTTTTCAGTCACTTGTCTCTCAGTGGACATGTCTACACATGCATATTAATGCACTGCAATAAACTGTGGTGCTTATCGCACCAGAGTTTATTGCTTCCAGGCACACATTTACAAGTGCACTTAAGACTGCAGCATGTTGAGCCAGGTCGGAGCAGTCCCAGCTGGCACGGAACCCAGCGGAGGGTGCAGGGAAATCAGCCTGCCAGCCCAGGGCTGCTCCAGTCTGGTTCAGCGTGCTGTGGAGGGGCTGGCTGGGGCAGGAGGGTGCTCCAGTGCAGGACTAGCAAGCAGGCAGCCCCCACAATGAAGCACCCTCATGCTGTAGCCAGCCAGGGCAGCATCTACACATGCAGTGCTATGGAGTTTTTTACTCCACAGCTGGAGAAATACAAGTACTACCCTGCTGCAGAGTAAATTAGTTTACTCCAGCCTAATAGAGGCACATATGTAGATATGTGACATCTACTGTGCAGCTAATTAGTCAACTGTGCAATAAGTGTCTTGTGTAGATGTGCTCAGTGAGTGTTAAAAAAACTTGACTGGATTTAAACAAGTATGAGAACATTTATGATCTAATACTGACCATAACTTTCTAGCAAGTATAAATAAAGATCTTGATCAGAATTTATCCTATTAGTTGTGGCTAAATCCATGTTCTCTATAATGTCTGAACACCAAAAATGCATCCAAAGAAGACCAACCAGTGAATGGAGACAATTGTGAAGTACGAAAAAGTGCATCTAGAATGCAGGTAGAGCCTGGCTATTCTGCAGTACTTGAAACAAACAAACAAACAAACAACTCCCCAGTACATGTACTAGATGCAATACAAAACTTCTCTTTTTACCCCATGAAAGGCATTAAATCATATCCATTATGTAACTGCTACTTACCACATACACTGACAAGTGTCCACTCATATGGTCCTCTGTGTTCCTGTTTAAAGCAGGATTGCTGACAGTTGACAAATAATGAACAACTTTAACCTGGCCCATTTTTCAGGCAAAATTCTTTAATAGTTTCCATTAAAAAAGATGTCATACATTCTAGCTGCCAAAGAGCCAAGGCATATAGTTGAGAATAATAAAAAATTTGATTTCAGCTTCACACGTTAAAAGAGTTTCAAAATAACTTCCAGTTAATTTTTTCTTGTTTAAAACATGGAAATTCCAAGGCACTTGAAATACACAACTAGCCGATGCAACTGCTATAACTGGAGGAACACTTCTTGTAGTCCAAAGCATTGTCACTTGCATCAATTTCGAAGAGGAAAAATGATGATTAAGCAGTAGCCTTGTATTTACAAGTGACACAATTGTTAAGTTTCACTTCTATAATCACAGTAATTAATTACTGAAGTACACACCAGCTTGAGTTTCCAGTAAATGCCACAATACATTCTCTCCCGCCTGAACAAAAATGTAGATAGACAGTGAAAGTGTTGAAAAGCTTGAGTGGTTCATCCTTAATTCTTGTTCGCTTATGAACTATAGCAGGGCCTATTTAATGAAATAGCACATTAGCACAGCATTACGTTCTACAGTTTATTTTATATATGTCTGACAACGTTACCAACAGAAAAGGATGAGCTATCTTTATTATCCCTTCGCTCCTTTCCACCTTTACCACTTGGCTTCTGGTGAGCAACTTTTACCAGAGGACAAAATAATTAGAAGTACAGAAGCTGTACACGTAAGTAGAATTTCTTCAGGGTTATGTCAGGTTTTTGTTGCTTTCTTTTTGTTTTGTTGAGGTTTTTTTTTTTTTTTGTGTGTGATTTGGGGGTATTTGGGGAGCTGGTTTTTTTGGCTTTTTTAGCTTTGTTTTTGGCACACTGCAGAGCAGACTTTTGTAGAGATTTACTACCACAAATGCTTCTTCCTGCTCCCCTCACTTTCTTGGCTGTAATTAAAAATCCAGACTGCAATTTGCATTGGACTGCAGATGGAGAAGGGAAGACCTCCCAAAAAGGAGTGGAGCTCTGAAGTGCAGCTGTCTTCTGAAGTCTCAACTTTGTGAACAGAAGGTTCATAGTCTCTGTTTCTTACATTCACAAAGGGTGGAACTGTTTACTTCAGCAACAGACCTTTGATTGCTTTTGACTCCTGTTAACCATACAGGAATGAATACAACCCTGAGAGAGAGAGACAGACTCAAACCCAACTCAACTCTATCCTTTCTTGTAGATCAACAAAAATAGTTTACCGTGTCCCAATTATAGGGCCAACAACTTACACCTTTGGTTCCCCACAATCTTTACCTTAAAGATCCTCCTTTCATTAGGAAAGGAGAAGAACAGAAACTATATTCCACATTAGTTTTTACTGCAGAATTGCTTGGTCCACATGAGAATAAAGTATGAAAGGGAAGTTCTTAGTTGTGCTGTCTGAAATAGCTGTGTTGGCAAGAGTGAGGACAGACCACAGCCACACTGTTGATGCTCCAACCACAAAAAAAAACCTCACTCATTATTAGCATCCCAAAGGTCGAGTCAGATTGCTGATAGCACTAATAGTTAATGAAATGACATGTTCTTTATGACTCCCTGCATTATTTTTACAACACACATTTACACCTTGGCAAGCACAAGGTATTAAGAAGAAACACCCCACAGAGTAGCAGAGCATGTTAGCAGGTCACCCTGATGTGGAAGCAACAGTGCACAGCAACTCTGTGGGCAAAACCATTTCTATGGAAGTAAAGAAATGTCTTGCCAAAAAATGGCTTGTGCAAATTCTGCTCCTGCTGCTTACTACACATCTGACTTCCCTTCCTGAGAATTAATAAAAATGGACTACAGAGCATTAAAAATAAGTCATGTTAAGAGTCGTACAGCCAACTGTTATTCTGTTTCTTCATGTCCCCTTACAAGAATCAAGTGAATGCCAAGAAGATTTATAACCCCCAGCTAAGTAGAGAAAATGAAGTAACCCCACTAAGATACGTTTTTCAAATTCTTAAAACGTCCTTTATGTTATAAAGTACTGTACGTTACTTAGGAGACTGTGGAGCGAAGAAGGGTCTTATTACATGTTGAGCTGGTCACTAGAGGGCTGGTGAGCAGGGGCCTGCCTAGGAGCTACAGCTGTGAGTTGCCACTGCAGGGCTGGTGAACCAGGACAGGCTTCCATCCCTGCTGGCAGGGGGGAGATGGGCTGGGGGGAGGCAGGAAAATGAAGCTGGGAGGCAGAGTTAATGGACTGCAGCTGGGTAATGAAAATGGGAGGTGGAAAGGAAATGAGGGCGGGGGAAGGGTGGTGAAATGAAGTCAGCCAGGGAAGGATAAAATCAAAAAATAAAAAAAAATTAAATGAAGAGGAAGTAAATTAAAGAAGGTCTTATGTTTTAATACAATGGGATTTGGGATTGGGTTCTAGGGGGTGCTGAAGTGCTTCTGGGGGTGGCTGGGAAGTGGGAGAGGTGAGGAAAGGCATTTTTAGGGGAGCTACTGTCCCTGTCCTGGGAAGGAAACTGCAGCTCATGGTGACCCAATCACACTCCCTGCCTTGTTCCTCCCTATGCCCTGTAAACCCCACACCTGGATCCCTTCATGCCCTGCAACCTGGCTAGCTGGCAAGTGCTCTGCAAGCTTGCACCCCTGGGCAGAAGAGTTCAGGGGGAAGAAAGTTTGACCACATGGGGGGGAGGGGAGGCAATGCATCCTGTGATCCTGGAGGGCTGTAACTTGGGTAGCTCACCTGTAGGGAGTGGCCACACATTAAGGGAACATGAGCTGGTTGACATGGATGAGAGAGAAGCCTGCCCTAAGAGTGGCATAGCTTTAAGCCGCTTAAAGCGTGCTTAAAACTAGTTTGAGGTGTTCATGTGTGGACAATCCAGAGGTTAAGAGCTCCAGGAGCTGCCTGAAATTAACATGCAACAAGGCCCTAATGTTTAGTAATGCTACCAAGCCCACTTCTGACAGACGGCACTCTCAGTTAAACAAATCCTATTGAAAATATGAACTGAATGAATAAACACTTAATGGCTTCGCTGCCAATGGCTGGTCTGTGTATTCTATCAGATATTCAGGATAAATCTGGTACTTCTCAAAGATGACAAAGATAGATGGGTTACTCATGCTATTCACACAGCTATCATAGTAACTGTTTTGACCACTTTTGGGGGGAGGAAGACGATAGGAAGAGTTACCACAGGTGAACTCCCCCACCAGCACCCGTGCCAGAAACATTGTCTTGACGTTGTGCTCACTCTTGCTATAGTTATCAGAGTAAGATGCATCCCTTGCAAAGTAGCTTCCTGCAACAGACACACAAGCAAAGGTGTAGTTAGTTAAGATTGATGCCCTGTTGCAAGACAAGCACTAGAAATTCAAATGGGGGAGGGGGGGCACACAAATAACAGCAAAATGTTTACTGGTAAGAAATTTGCAGACAGCCTTTTCAAGGCACTCAAATGTGGTGTACATCTTTTCTGATACAATCATCAACTAGGATCACAACTTGATCTTTCACCACACAGGAAGGACAGTAACAACAGAGCATGTTTCCATTCTCATTCCATAAGAGCATACTTTTTTGCCCATGTATCTCCACCTCCTCATCTCACCACTCACTCTCTACTGTGAGTAACCTTTTAGAGATTTAAAACAGAAACCTTTTGTTTCCACAATGTTCTAATATGCAAAACAACCGATGGCAGAGAGGGGGGAGGGCGAGCTCTGATCAGCTACATTACTTGTTTTAAAAAAACTATAGTCTATTTTGTTCCACTTCATGTGGTAGTTTCTTGCATTAAAAAGTAAAAAGGAGTAAGGCATGAGAGATCATTTCCAGCGAGGGGAGAAATATTTAGGGCCAGCTGCTTTCAAAGCATCAGACACAAGGCACATTATCATTTTCTCTTGTGGCTCAGGAAAGACAGGCTGCATGTGGTGTTGACATGGGAAGTGATGGCTTCCTTAATGAATGCTGAGTAATCTGTGGTTTGCACTGGGCTCAACCCTACCCAAAGGACAAATGGCAATGCAAGAGTTTTTTCCATGCTCTTCCTAACTCCTCTCACTTCCATACTTCTCAACAGCACAACATGCTCTCTCTCAAGCAACTGTTCAGTGACCTCCCAAATAGTGCAGCCAAGAGATGTCAAAGATATGGCTTGTGGGCCCGATTCAACCTGTAGTGCAGCATGCACTGGCCCCACCCCTGTGTGCTGCATGAAACAGGCAAAACCTGTCTGGCATGGGCTGCACACAGTGCAAGGCTGGTCTGGGGCACATGCTGCATGTGGTACCCACTCTGGACTGACCCGATATGCTGGATCCAGGGTCAGTCTGTATCAGACCCGCTGACTGGCCGTACATGCCAGTTCTAGTGAACACAGCTGGTCCAGCATGGGCATCACATGCAGTGCATGTCCTAGACTGGCTCCACGTGCTGTGCTTAGCATGTGCTCCAGATTGGCCGCACACACTGCACACAAAAGCAGTGCATGCTGCATACAGTACACAGGCCTGGAGCCTGCACGCATGCTGCAAACAGCACACAGCCAGTCCACGGCTTATGCTACATGCAGTGCCTCCACCAGCACAGGGTTGGTTTGTGGGCCCAATCCATCTCACAAACTAAACCCAGTTCCCTAATTCAGCCCATGGGCCAAATAAGTTTTATACCTCTGGTATAGAGGGAAGAGTGCCAATGCTGCACCCAGAAGATACTGACCAGTTTATTTTCAGATGCTGTCTTGTGTGTCATGCAAAATGACTGTTCTGAGTGCTCCCCAACCCCCTGCCCATCCATACACTGTTCTCCACAGCTAATTTGTGGAAGGGTGGCAGCAGCTCAAGCAACAGGAAGCTTTCCCTGTAACACTTAACTCAGGTGAGTGTCTTTTTCCCCTGACATCCTCGAGTTCACATTTTTGCTGTAGCTACTGTTTTTCTGAAGGAAGTTTTCTTCAAGCCAAGGTTAACAGAAGAATAAACTTGGGACTTACCTTTGCCATAGACTGTACCGTTAAGGCCACAGACCCTCCAGTCAAAGTTCTGCTGACATATGGCATCAACGTACTGTTTACTGGTCCCATGAAATAAGAGCTTCTCGGCCACAGCTTTCCCTGCGTTCCTTTTGTGCATTTGTTCTTTCTGCCTGTAACAAGCAGCACTGTCATGGTGCTATAGTGGAAAGTCAGATTATTCTAGCCAAGCAGGTTCCACTAAGTTCAGAGGCTGTTTGTGCCCACTGATGCAAAGCAATCAAGTGTTGTTAAAAAGTTTAATATACTTTATTTTATTAAGCAACTATCCACATGAATGTTTTCAAAAGGCTCGTACTCAGATTTACCCATCTATGACTGCCATTCCATCCAGTACCTCCCAAGCATTTAAGAATAGAATTGATTTCCTCATATGCAAGTCTGAAGGAGAAATAGCTAGATTTTTTTTAAATGCGTCTGATCACGTATATCTATTATTGAAGGAAATGCCATAAAAATGAGTTGCATTTTGCTTTGAGCTCCTGGAGGCTGGTGGTCATTCTAATTGGGGCTCAGTTCCCATGCAAGTAATGGCATTTTAACTTGCACATCTCTGTTATTGCTTCAGTGCTTCATAATTCCTGTGGAATGCAGCTATCATGGGACACCAAGGCTACAGGGAGAGGCGGTCTCTGTCAGGAACTAGGCAACAGCCCAAAGGCCTCTGAATATCAGAACACTTCCATCTTGCCTGCTTCAGCCAACTGCTCTTCATTTAGATACTGACTGCAGCAAGGCAGTTAAACTGAGCAGTCCAGCAAATTAAAAAATGCAGACATATTTAGCTGCATAATTGCATTGTATGTAGGAATTAGTCATAACAGCAAAGAAAAAAATCCACTACACAAAACCTACTAGGGCAGTATTTTGTACATACCATTGATACAATTCCCAGAGAGATGGGTTCTGGATTCTCTGGATGCACAAAATGGCAGTTTTGGGCATTGTGCGCTGAAAGTCTGTCTGGATTTTTTTGTATTCCTCCGAAGAACTTAGAAGTTTGATAAGCTGTAAGAAAAATGTAAGAACAAACCTTACATCTTTCACAGAACCACAACGCAACAAGTGGCTGAGGCACATAAAGTGTTTCTTTTGTACGATATCAGAGACTGCAGACTTTTTACTTAGAAAATCTATTTTCCTCTGAAACTCTGCCTAACCCATGCCAGAAGTCACTGCATCAACCAGAAAGAACCTCTCCTGCAGCAAGGCACAGAACTGTTTTATTTTTCAGGCCACAAGCACACACAGGGCCGTCCCTAGGGGGGCACAAATCAGAGCAACCACTCCGGGCCCCGCACTTTGGGGGGCCCCATGGACAGTGCCGTACAGGCCTCGCTGCATGCCGCTGGTTCTGCGCTCCGGCTGCTTGCCACCTGCCCTCCCTCCACTCCAGCCGCTCACCAGCTCCCAGCCTCACACAGGTTGCTATGCCCTGGGCCCCGCACACTCCTTGGGACGGCTGTGCGTGCACACAAGTTAGCCTGAGATAAACAAGGGTGGAGATTTATAGAGAATCAGCTACTTTGCAGTAACTGCTGTATACACAGTCTCACCCCACCATAAATAAAAGCTAACCTGCAGCAGCCCGGCGCTCTTCTGTAGGAATAAGATCTCATGGGTTAGTTTTCATTTTCTAGAAGGCAGATGATGTACTGTGATTCTGCAGCCTTGTTTACCTGTTGTAATATGTGTGCCCATGCCCTTAAATCTCCACAGAACATGCATTATAGCAGTGGTTCACAACCTTTTTTGTACCAGGACCAATTTGTGTCCTGACCC